CTAGTGGCTTTAGACATAATTACAGTGTACAATATGTAACCCTTTAATCATTCTAGTGGCTTTAGACATAATTACAGTGTACAATATGTAACCCTTTAGTAATTCTAGTGGCTTTAGACAAAATTACAGTGTACAATATGTAACCCTTTAATAATTCTAGTGGCTTTAGACAAAATTACAGTGTACAATATGTAACCCTTTAATCATTCTAGTGGCTTTAGACATAATTACAGTGTACAATATGTAACCCTTTTGTAATTCTAGTGGCTTTAGACATAATTACAGTGTACAATATGTAACCCTTTAGTAATTCTAGTGGCTTTAGACAAAATTACAGTGTACAATATGTAACCCTTTAATAATTCTAGTGGCTTTAGACATAATTACAGTGTACAATATGTAACCCTTTAATAATTCTAGTGGCTTTAGACATAATTACAGTGTACAATATGTAACCCTTTAATCATTCTAGTGGCTTTAGACATAATTACAGTGTACAATATGTAACCCTTTAGTAATTCTAGTGGCTTTAGACATAATTACAGTGTACAATATGTAACCCTTTAGTAATTCTAGTGGCTTTAGACAAAATTACAGTGTACAATATGTAACCCTTTAATAATTCTAGTGGCTTTAGACATATGTAATTATCATTCTAGTGGTACAATATGTAACCCTTTAACATTCTAGTGGCCAAAATTTTACAATCTGTAACCCTTTAATCATTCTAGTGGCTTTAGACATAATTACAGTGTACAATATGTAACCCTTTTGTAATTCTAGTGGCTTTAGACATAATTACAGTGTACAATATGTAACCCTTTAGTAATTCTAGTGGCTTTAGACAAAATTACAGTGTACAATATGTAACCCTTTAATAATTCTAGTGGCTTTAGACATAATTACAGTGTACAATATGTAACCCTTTAGTAATTCTAGTGGCTTTAGACAAAATTACAGTGTACAATATTTTACAGTTTAATAATTCTAGTGGCTTTCGACATAATTACAGTGTACAATATGTGACCCTTTAATAATTCTAGTGGCTTTAGACAAAATTACAGTGTACAATATGTAACCCTTTAATAATTCTAGTGGCTTTAGACAAAACTACAGTGTACAATATGTAACCCTTTAAATTCTAGTGGCTTTAGACATAATTGTGTACAATATGTAACCCTTTTGTAATTCTAGTGGCTTTAGACAAAATTACAGTGTACAATATGTAACCCTTTAGTAATTCTAGTGGCTTTAGACGTAATTACAGTGTACAATATGTAACAGTTTAATAATTCTAGTGGCTTTAGACATAATTACAGTGTACATATAATAGTAACTAGCTTTAGACAAAATTACAGTGTACAATATGTAACAGTTTAATAATTCTAGTGGCTTTAGACATAATTACAGTGTACAATATGTGACCCTTTAATAATTCTAGTGGCTTTAGACAAAATTACAGTGTACAATATGTAACCCTTTAGTAATTCTAGTGGCTTTAGACATAATTACAGTGTACAATATGTAACCCTTTAATAATTCTAGTGGCTTTAGACATAATTACAGTGTACAATATGTAACCCTTTAATAATTCTAGTGGCTTTAGACAAAATTACAGTGTACAATATGTAACCCTTTAATAATTCTAGTGGCTTTAGACAAAATTACAGTGTACAATATGTAACACTTTAATAATTCTAGTGGCTTTAGACAAAATTACAGTGTACAATATGTAACCCTTTAATAATTCTAGTGGCTTTAGACAAAATTACAGTGTACAATATGTAACCCTTTAATAATTCTAGTGGCTTTAGACATAATTACAGTGTACAATATGTAACCCTTTAATAATTCTAGTGGCTTTAGACAAAATTACAGTGTACAATATGTAACCCTTTAATAATTCTAGTGGCTTTAGACAAAATTACAGTGTACAATATGTAACCCTTTAATCATTCTAGTGGCTTTGGACAAAATTACAGTGTACAATATGTAACCCTTTAATAATTCTAGTGGCTTTAGACAAAATTACAGTGTACAATATGTAACCCTTTAATCATTCTAGTGGCTTTAGACATAATTACAGTGTACAATATGTAACCCTTTAGTAATTCTAGTGGCTTTAGACAAAATTACAGTGTACAATTTGTAACCCTTTAATCATTCTAGTGGCTTTAGACAAAATTACAGTGTACAATATGTAACCCTTTAATAATTCTAGTGGCTTTAGACAAAATTACAGTGTACAATATGTAACCCTTTAATCATTCTAGTGGCTTTAGACATAATTACAGTGTACAATATGTAACCCTTTTGTAATTCTAGTGGCTTTAGACATAATTACAGTGTACAATATGTAACCCTTTAGTAATTCTAGTGGCTTTAGACAAAATTACAGTGTACAATATGTAACCCTTTAATAATTCTAGTGGCTTTAGACATAATTACAGTGTACAATATGTAACCCTTTAATCATTCTAGTGGCTTTAGACATAATTACAGTGTACAATATGTAACCCTTTAATCATTCTAGTGGCTTTAGACATAATTACAGTGTACAATATGTAACCCTTTAGTAATTCTAGTGGCTTTAGACATAATTACAGTGTACAATATGTAACCCTTTAATAATTCTAGTGGCTTTAGACAAAATTACAGTGTACAATATGTAACCCTTTAATCATTCTAGTGGCTTTAGACATAATTACAGTGTACAATATGTAACCCTTTTGTAATTCTAGTGGCTTTAGACATAATTACAGTGTACAATATGTAACCCTTTAGTAATTCTAGTGGCTTTAGACAAAATTACAGTGTACAATATGTAACCCTTTAATAATTCTAGTGGCTTTAGACATAATTACAGTGTACAATATGTAACCCTTTAATAATTCTAGTGGCTTTAGACATAATTACAGTGTACAATATGTAACCCTTTAATCATTCTAGTGGCTTTAGACATAATTACAGTGTACAATATGTAACCCTTTAGTAATTCTAGTGGCTTTAGACATAATTACAGTGTACAATATGTAACCCTTTAGTAATTCTAGTGGCTTTAGCTTACAATATGTAACCCTTTAATAATTCTAGTGGCTTTAGACAAAATTACAGTGTACAATATGTAACCCTTTAATAATTCTAGTGGCTTTAGACATAATTACAGTGTACAATATGTAACCCTTTAGTAATTCTAGTGGCTTTAGACAAAATTACAGTGTACAATATGTAACCCTTTAGTAATTCTAGTGGCTTTAGACAAAATTACAGTGTACAATATGTAACCCTTTAGTAATTCTAGTGGCTTTAGACATAATTACAGTGTACAATATGTAACCCTTTAGTAATTCTAGTGGCTTTAGACATAATTACAGTGTACAATATGTAACAGTTTAATAATTCTAGTGGCTTTAGACAAAATTACAGTGTACAATATGTAACCCTTTAATAATTCTAGTGGCTTTAGACAAAATTACAGTGTACAATATGTAACCCTTTAATAATTCTAGTGGCTTTAGACAAAATTACAGTGTACAATATGTAACCCTTTAATCATTCTAGTGGCTTTAGACAAAATTACAGTGTACAATATGTAACCCTTTAATCATTCTAGTGGCTTTAGACAAAATTACAGTGTACAATATGTAACCCTTTAATAATTCTAGTGGCTTTAGACATAATTACAGTGTACAATATGTAACCCTTTAATAATTCTAGTGGCTTTAGACATAATTACAGTGTACAATATGTAACCCTTTAATAATTCTAGTGGCTTTAGACAAAATTACAGTGTACAATATGTAACCCTTTAATAATTCTAGTGGCTTTAGACATAATTACAGTGTACAATATGTAACCCTTTTGTAATTCTAGTGGCTTTAGACATAATTACAGTGTACAATATGTAACCCTTTAATAATTCTAGTGGCTTTAGACAAAATTACAGTGTACAATATGTAACAAAATTACAGTGTACAATATGTAACACTTTAATAATTCTAGTGGCTTTAGACAAAATTACAGTGTACAATATGTAACACTTTAATAATTCTAGTGGCTTTAGACATAATTACAGTGTACAATATGTAACACTTTAATAATTCTAGTGGCTTTAGACATAATTACAGTGTACAATATGTAACCCTTTAATAATTCTAGTGGCTTTAGACATAATTACAGATAACAATATCAAACCCTTTAAAACGTCTAGAGGCTTTAGACATAATTACAGTGTACAATATGTAACCCTTTAATAATTCTAGTGGCTTTAGACATAATTACAGTGTACAATATGTAACCCTTTATAATTCTAGTGGCTTTAGACAAAACTACAGTGTACAATATGTAACCCTTTAATCATTCTAGTGGCTTTAGACATAATTACAGTGTACAATATGTAACCCTTTTGTAATTCTAGTGGCTTTAGACATAATTACAGTGTACAATATGTAACAGTTTAATAATTCTAGTGGCTTTAGACAAAATTACAGTGTACAATATGTAACACTTTAATAATTCTAGTGGCTTTAGACAAAATTACAGTGTACAATATGTAACACTTTAATAATTCTAGTGGCTTTAGACATAATTACAGTGTACAATATGTAACCCTTTAGTAATTCTAGTGGCTTTAGACGTAATTACAGTGTACAATATGTAACAGTTTAATAATTCTAGTGGCTTTAGACATAATTACAGTGTACAATATGTAACAGTTTAATAATTCTAGTGGCTTTAGACAAAATTACAGTGTACAATATGTAACCCTTTAATAATTCTAGTGGCTTTAGACAAAATTACAGTGTACAATATGTAACCCTTTAATAATTCTAGTGGCTTTAGACAAAATTACAGTGTACAATATGTAAATGGCAATGAGGATTGGTATAAGAATCAAAAGTCTACAATCTATTCTATTAACATTGTATGAAACTGAGTAGTAGTAAACCTATATAGCAGTGAGATTTTTTATCAGATCCTTTAGAGAAGGTGAACCTTACCTCAGCATGGCTGTTGATGACTCCACCATTTTCCTGATAGACTGTTTTGTGATACCACATTCTGCCAACAAGTTGTGGGCTTTTGTCCACCTGTAAAAGGCATTGTACACATATAAATATATTACTGGGGTCAGTGAGGGCCAGTCATTAACAACATTAAGTCGAATACAATCCCAAGGTATAGCTGCAACATGGCTTATATGTTCCTTGTTATATGTAACTATATTTTAATGTGGTCACAGGATTCTGGGAAAGAATATTTCCATCTTTACAACGAAATTGTTTAAATTGCTGAATTTTTACAAATAATCATATTTTTCCACTGGCTACATTCTCAAGCTGAAAATGATACTTGATATTACAAGAAATTGCTGATATTCTGAAATTTCAGATTCTGTTTTGAAATTGCTTTCTGATCCAAGGTAGTTTATGGTGACCTGTAACAACTACTTACAGTGATAAAATGCTATAGGACAAGGTTTACAAAAATACATAACACTTTGCATCAATATTTACTAGTAATAACCTGCTCCTATGATTTTCTTTCATTTATTATCTATTCAGATTTGATCAATGTTGAAACTGATAAATCAAATTTGAAATTTCAACAATACTGAATCAAATTATAAAACAACTCGAAAATGATTTTAAATACAGATTTTCTCCATCCACCCACTCAACACGTCTTTATTTCAGAAGTCAATGGCACAAAAACTATCTGTTTCATGACACCCAATTTTTTACGCAATTTTCTGCATGCAGTTAAGGGATTGAAGCAGAAGCTGAGGTGATGCTCCAAGAACATACCATTCTATCATTAGTGGAATCTTCTCATTCACAGGAATATCTGGGTTCATTTCTAATGGGAAGTAGGTGTCACGCAGTTCTGTAGCCTGAAGAAATTAAAAAAAAATTAGCAACTCAACAGACAGCGACAATGTTAAACATACCTAATCAAGGAAGAAACTGATATCACAACAAAAAAAAGGATAAATCTTCAAAGTTATCCTGAAGATATCATTTCAAAACATTTTTTTCAAGATCTTTCTAATACAAGTCAAAATTAAAGTATACCTGAACATTTCACCACACCATGTAATTTTATACAATCATGTATTTTGTGATTAGGTCCTTTATGATGGTAAGTTTTAATGTGCAATATCAGACAATCATCGTTTTGTTATTAAAAGCTTTATCTACTTGAATATATACAGTTACCTTTACTCTGAAGAATTCTGGTAGGTGATCACCCTCCTCAAGAACTTCTGTTAAGAACAAAATATAATCACATTTTAAAATAAAACAGACCTGCACATTCAAACCTGCCTAAATGGCCACGTCTACATACCAAACATCTGTCTATTATATTTAATTGTTTATTTAACAACTACAAACCTGTCTATAAAGACCATCTGTATAGAACAAACATCTGTTTATAAAGGTAACATATACAACCCTGCCTATAAAGGTCATTTTTATATGAATGTAATTCTTTTTTTTCTCCCCGGGGTGTCTTTTAAAATTATAAATGTCATCCTTTTTTCTCCTCGTAGTGTCTATTATAATAATAAATGAGGAAACTAACAGCTAAACAAGACATTTTTTGTATAACCAGGTAAACAATTCATTTTTTTTTTCATATTAGCTAAAGAAGACATTTTTGTCTACCAGCTCATAAAGACCTTTTTTTCTTACCTGCACCTAAACAAAAAAATATGTGTCTTACTATCTAAAGACATTAAAGTTTTTGTCTTACAAACTAAACAGTACAATTTTGTTATCTTACCAACTAAACCGGACATTTTTATGTCTTACTAGCTATGAAGACACATTAAGTTTTTGTCTTACCAGCTAAACAAGACATATTTTGTACAACCAGTCAAGCAAATCATCCTATTAGTTCTACCAATTTTCATCATTTCACAAATAGAATAATCCTAGCATATGTCTGGGGGACTGACACCTTACATCTTACTTGATAATAAGTGCATGCCTTATCACAGGACAATCAGATAATCACACCTTATAGTTTAAGACTTCACTTCACAACAATATACATATGGGTGGGCTTATTATGAGGTGTCTGTTGGTTTTTTGCTGGATGAATATCACATGTAAACTACATCCCAATGGACGTCTTATCAATTCCAAGAAAAATAATTCTGTATGTTTCTTAGTGACAAAATTTCCTCTAATAACGAGTAATACATACTATGACAAGATGCACATAACTCTCCTTTGTTTGTATACTTTGTCAGTGTCCGATCAAAGTCAGCAACAACCTGAAAAAAAAAGAAATTTTACTGTATTTGCTTTATTGAGTCTAATTACAAGAACAAGAGTCAGTGAACTCCAAACACAGACTTGTGAGACTCCATACAAAACATAAGCAATCAGAAATTGTACGATCAGATAATGTGCCTATTTCATTTTTGTTATGCTAGTCCAGTAATTTAATTTCATACACAGATTATACCTTCTATAGAACACAAATTACCATTCTGCACAATTATTTAAAATTAAATATAACAACAAAAACAGGGAATTTAGATTGAAAGTTTTCTTTGTTAATCCTAAAAATTGCATATAAATGTAAGTCTCTTTCAAATATAAAAATGTAATTCTACTAATTTTAAATACTACAAAATCCTTAATATGCATGAGGAATTATTTTTGTTGATTCCGTGGGTGCTCTTTACTCACAAATACATTATCTACAAATCTTTAAATCAATATGTAGAGTTATTGAGGTATATTCATCCACAAAATCAGGAGTCCATGAAATGGAATTTTTTGGAAAAACCACAAAAACTGAGCGCTACAAAAATACATGAGTTTACAGTACAGACATTTTGTATATTTAAGATGAATTGCAAACCTGGGCTCTTTCCAATATTTTTTTTTCTGTGAATGACAGTATTAACAGGTGTATGCGCACTAAGCTAAGGTTATTGACATAACCCTACATATAAAATTTGCCAGGGAAGGGAGGTGGTCAAAATCACAGCAGGTGCTACTCAAGTCGACAGTATTCAACTTAAACAAGCTCAAAACCTCCTATCCTGGCCTGTTGTGACCCACCACCTCCCTCATCTTCTGACTCTCTTAGTGGGACGTCCTACATACTTCCTCCTACCAATGAGGCAGAACAGGACAAACAAACAGTCTTTGACTCTATTTTTAGTACAAATTTGTCAAATTGTACCCAATTTTCATCAATATACTGTACGTGTACATGTATAACAGTATAGTTATCTAACTTCCCAGACCCAAAATTTTGTAGCTACCCTGGTTTGGGCTAGTTCAGGGGATTAAATTTTGCACGAGCCAATGAAATGAACTTTTGTCAATAAACTGGCATAATGGATCTTTTTCTAGCAACTTTCATTCGCTGTAGAAATGTTCCCTAGGTATTCAATTTTGTAAAATCTTTATTGACCACGAACATAGTGAAATAAATTCAGGCATGAAAATTAGCAACAATACAGTACACTTCATACCTCTGATACAATAAGTAAAAGTTATACCTGTAATTTGTCTGGTCCATCTGCAGCTATATTTTCTATGGTTCTCTTCACAAAATCCCAATCTCGTATATGGACATGTTTCTGATTCTTCAAATCTTCAAACTGCAAAATATCAAATACAAGATGAAAGCTTAAAAAAATTTCACTCCACACTACATGTAACACATTAGAAGAGAAATCAAATACAATGATTGTACCATGGCTTTTTTGATATCCATTTCTCTATATACGTTTTGTTTTATAGCAGTTATTTTACAATCTCAATGACAACCATGCAATGCAAACACAATCATGTCTGTGCTCACTATCCCTATTTGTCTGTACACTGCCCACACATACAAGTATGTTCTTGTTGTCTATATCTGTCTATATACTAAAACAGTTAAACACAAATTGAAAGTGAAACTAAAAAACTTAAAGATTTTAGGTATCTTGTTTTTGAAAAATCAACAAGTTTATTTTTAAAAAGGGGGTCGTATAGGTGTAGAAATATAAACAATTATAATTAATAACTGATTTAATAAAAAATTATCAAACATGTAAAATACTGAGCAGACATGCTGCAATTGATATCACAGCCTATTTTTCCGTTAAAACAGTATAACAAATACAGTTACATATATCAGTACAAGTAGTGCATTGTACTTTGGCTCACATTAACAATAAGTAGGTTTCTTAAGATACTATACATTAATATAGATTATGAAAAACTTTAATAATTTAAATAATGACAAAGATTTATTCTTGAACAAGCTTGTTTATGATCTCATCACTCCAGTTGACTACGGTAAGCTGCAAACAAAGACATGGTTAGGTAGTGGTGGGCTCCTTTAATTCTGAATGGAAACTCTGGATATATGCTCCTCCAGAAGTTGAAAGAGTATATACATTTTTGTACCACCTGTACAAGTGGCAAAAAGACATGAAAGTCTGCCACATTTTAAAGAACTTATTTAATTTTAGACTGATCAGTTTTGCTGACAACAAAATTTGAAAGATTTATAAGGTATGATAAACAATAATTAATTTGAAAGTAAATATCAAAGTTATAACAGTGTAACATATTTCTTTTCTTACGTAAATAAGCCTTTAAATAGACTAATGTATGAACTGCTTAAACTCATACAAAAACCTTATTTTATCTCCTAAAAAAGTTACATTTAGTTGTTAAAAATTTTTCATCAAGAAAAACTAATGATCCAATTATTGACATGGTCACTGAACAATCTTGTAGTATTTAAATTTAATTTTCATGTTTGGTCTCACATGGTAACATGTTCTACAGTTAACTAAAAATACTGGTCATGATAGAATGTTATCAATGTACATTCTTGTATATCATTGCTGATTGCAATATCAGCACACTGGGCATTTTGGTTATTGAGAAGAAGTTGTTTAAAGATTTTAACATATTTGATCTCTGTGACATTGAAAGTTGGTCAAAGTCATTTATATTAACAAACATTGTAGCTCTAATATACATACTAGCATGCTACAGGCCTAATATTAGTGTCTAGGGCCTTTTGCTTATCGAAAAAAAGTTCTTTATGAAAATCATATGAAATGTTATATATCACATTTATAAGTTCCATGAACTGAAAATATCTCTGATCAACAAACATTTGTGCCAGTCTACATTGATACCACCATCAGAAGATGTTTTAACATATGATTTTGGAACTAAAATGTTATTTTCCCAAAATTGTGTTTTTGTATTGTAAGAAATTTATACAAAGGTAAAACAATTAATTTGTTTTTTGTGAACTAAATAAAGCAACAGAGCAGTAAGCAATCGACATATTGAATTACAGATCTTATATTTCATTATATTTTCATCGTATAGCAGCTAAGCCGCACCATTGATTTTAAACATCACAAACAACCAATATGGCGATGGAAGCAGTCAAAAGACACATGAATCAGGCAGTAAATAATGTATATTGTAGCAAGTACACTTTGTAAAATTTCAGTGTGTTCATATCATCTAATATAGTCACAATGTTGTCACTTCAGTCATTAACATAAAAATATGCATTATCTTATAATTTCTTATTAAATTATGTACATATAATGATTGTATCAAGTATTACCTTTATGCACGTCATACTTCCCAATGTGTAAAAATTCACACTAACAGATTGTTCTGAAGCCTTCCCTTGTTCGTAACAGTATAAAGTATAATGTTGTACTTGGTGCGTCTTTTCCCATAAGTCTATAGTCATTCACAAAATTGGATTAGGTGTCATGTAATATTTCATAATCACCAAGGCCAAGAAACTGAATTATGTTTTTCCTGTACACAGAAAATCTATATCAAATCAATATTGATTTTTGTTTATTATAAATTTATTATGCACTATGTATTGTCAAAAATTGATTGCTGTTTACAAGTTAGTTATTAATATATTTTAAATTAGTGGGCTTTTAAAGTTCTTTATAGGGTCTGATAAAAAAGTGTATACCTGGGTACTTCAGGTGATCAATGTTTAATCACACATTTATTGCCTTTACTTATGGGATACTTTGTGTTGTAGGTATGTTTAATTACATCATTAATTTTTAGTTACCAGGGTACCTGGAAATCAAACAGGAGCTACTGCAGTCAAAGCATAGGCTTATGCCAGACATTGTCGGATCTTATACTGTTTAGTAAGAAATACATCTCCCTATCATAAAGATTATATGAAAAGAAAGTATTGCTTTTCAGCCTCATAAATTTATAGCAATTTCAATGTTATTTATATGAAAAACTAGAGAAAATGAAAAAATATACACTTATCAAGTCATTTATACACAATAAAAATGCCAAAAAAAATAATGTTCTTAGTTATTCATTTTCATTTCTGTGTAGTTTTTTTATGAGACATTTGAGCTAGATAGTCAGCATGTGTGAACATGTGGTAATTAATCAATTAATATTCAATAATCACTGTAATCTGAAAACATCACAAAAAATCATTTACATGTTCATGACAAGAAAATTGTAAATCTTAATAATCTAGTTTATAGACCAAGACATTGTTTGAAAAATTTACACACCATTGTACATGTTTGACATTGATAGTGCTTCAAGGTCATTCATTTAAACAAAAATCTTGATAGTCCAACATTTTCTTGAATAAAATTTTTATCTATGTACAGCTACCGTGTATTCCCAAACATGTCATAGACATTAGCCTGTTAAATTGAAAAGCAATGCTTACCAGGTAAATATGTTTTGGAGGATATCCATTTATTCTAAGTTTGCACAACATTAACGAGGCCATGCTGCGATACTTTACTCGTTTTCAAAACCGAAAAATCACATCTGAATCCCAATCACAAGTTCTTAATGCACGTGTAATTAATTTTGTACATATCTTAAGACAGCAATGATCTACATATTCAGAGAATATACAAACAGAGCTGTAAATTGTTTGGCCTGTTCAGTGTAAACCTTACTATTCATATATTAACAGCATGACATAACCATAATCTTCTTGTACCCAAGATCAATAATGCGACTTAATGTATAATACTCATATTGTGTAGCCTCATAGAACCCTATAATATATTCACACATGGGAAAACTCTACCCCCTGGGGACAAGTATACCTGTGTACGTCTGTAGTCTTTGCATTGGCAGAGTCAAATCCCTGCTGTATAACAACCCAGAGGAAAATCCTGGGAAATCTTAGTTTATATATTCATAAGCTATATCATATATCCTTAGGTAACACGTTTCCAGCTGCTAAGTATAGTCTGGGGATAACCCTGTCTTGAAATTTATAGCAGTGTATTATGATTATACCAGATGATGTGTAGCAAACGTCCTACCACTTAACTGTTCTAACAATTATACTACAGCCTACCGCTATTGTAGAAGTTGAAAAATCAGGCTACCTCAGTCACTAGCCTTAGCTAGTGGGAATTTCCCTTTAGTCGAGCAGCAGAATGTCCTGCTAGAGACTGAAGGGTCATTTGCTCAAACCCAGAGGTGGAAGAGTGTTTTCTTTTCCAATACTCTTTCCAATCATACTATGACTGGCAAGGTTGTGCATTACTATAAGCAGATACAAATATCTGATGTGCTAGAAGTGTATTTATGATTTAAGCATCAGATACCAATGAGAACAGTACTATCTACATATGTGCATATATATTCACTACTTCCTCTTTCAAATAAGCTTGTCCTTCTAAGAAGACTGTTGCATTCACAAACACAAGTATCAGACACTTTTTTTGGGGGGGTGAAAAAAATGATTTCATTTCTACTAAAATAGCAGATTGGTCAGTTATATATACATCTTTGTCTCAGTTTTAGTGACATAAATCTATTTTTTATATACATTGACTGACACTTCGTATATACGTTTAATAATGATGATGACAGTGGGCCACAACAGGGTGTTTTAGCTCCAACGAGGCATATCAACGTCATGCCTCGTTGAGGATCGAACAAACAATATCAGGGACTCAGGGTAAACATCCTCCTGCTTGCAAATCGGAGCAGCAATATTGATCACTAATCATAAAACCAGACTAAGGATTATACAAGCAACACGGGCAATTAAAGTGACCTTTTCCGGTCAAGGTCCGAGCTGAGGCGATCAGATTTAAATGCAATGGATCGTCTTAAGTTTAAGAATGTTCATAAACTCATCATTATTAAATTCAAAACTACTAAAGAACATGTGGATTTCGTACTCAATCGATTCACAAGCACCTGTTTATGGAATGTACTGTAATCATACAGGTGTCTGTTGTCGATTTCACCAATCTGCGAATGTTGCGTCATTCAGAGAAGATATAGATGACATTTAAATAAAAAACAAAATTAAGATCGTGATTATAAAGTATTATGTAATGTCTCTAACCCATACTGTACCATTTTATTGACCACTGTAGCTCTTTGTTCGTTTTACGAGATATTATATGAGGCTTAATCTTCTTAACTATAGCTTCGGATGTAGCTTGGTTTGTTTTCTCCTCTGTTATATTTCTACCTCCATACAAAGGAGAGCGTTTGTGGAAATACTAAATATCGGACGAAACGCAGTGATCAGATCCGGCTGTTTTGTCAGTGGTATAGCGATAAGCTTGACAGCAAATGGGAGCCGAGATCATTCCGTTACTTAGCCAGCAAACGAAATTAAACTAAAGTCTAACAAACGAATCTTGCTTTGTTTTCTTATTCATTCATTCAACTCTTTTTTCATCCATTTTTTATTTCAGAATGTAATAGAGTGCCGTGTGGTATAATGGATTTTGTTTTGAAAATATTAATAAGAATAGTGAGTTTCGACTTTTTTTTAATATAGACACATGTTCAAAGAGACACATACACGATAACAAAAGATAAATCAATTTTCCTGTTGAGTTGTAAATATCAATTTTTAAATGACTGTTTAGCTCGCTTAATCAAGAATTAGTTAATCATCGCCCTTTAAACACATTTATTTGGAAAAAATGCATTTGGTACAAGCTATTTACATTACATAAAGACCACTCTCACGTTATTACAAACAGTTACAACTATTCAGATAGTAAACTTACATATACATAATTTATGTAACAGAGGTCATTTTTCTTCTCAGTGCCTCCGCTAGGAATCAAACCCGGGACCCCCTGGCTTACTAGTCTGACGCTCAACCAATCGAACTAAAGAGGATTTCTCTATAGCCAAATGGTATATTGCATTTTGTATTTTACCAGGGTTACATTTACATATATTAGTATGCTACAATCATATATTAGATAGTAAATTTAAGGATAATCCCTTACTTTACAACTCTCCTATATTTACAATTTCTTTTCATATACACGCCCGAGGGAGAAAGAGATTTGTCCTCACATCTCCGAAGCCGAGAGTAAAAAGTAAATTTTTAACATGATTTACCCAGTTAAAACAATTACCTTCTACTACACAGAAAGGTTTACGCAGTATTCAAAATACAGTTTTTCGAACACACTAGTTTTAATTAGTATTTGATCATTCTATACTGTCTTATGCATTCTAATGGGTATCTACCTAATTCTAAATAAATCATTGCATTACATGTCGACCTCTTAATTTTCAAAATCTTCTTACAAAACAATAGATTAACCTTTCCTATATCAGTACCATTGAAGAACCCCAAATTCCACACACAAAATGCAATATACTGCAAACATATGTATTAAATAAATGTAATAAAGTTTTGAAATTTAGATTTAAATTAGAACAATTGATAACAAATAAAACGGCGAGAAGATCTATAATTTGAAAATAATTTTTAACAGAACAATTGATTATGACTGTAGCAATTGAAATTTGAAGATTAACAACTGAAAATTCTTAATCAAGGATTCGGATTGGACGGGATCTACAACATCTACCGTTAACTATATCTATACATTCCCTGTATTGTTTTCGGTTGTGTCCATGTAAATCTCTCTTTGTTGTGATTTCATCGAGCGATTTTGAGATTAAATAAAAAATTGTGTAAACATACCGGTGTTTTCTTGTTGATTTTTTAAACAATGGACACTGAAGCCATCCGTGTTCTTTTAGAAAACACTTAATGGATGTGATATAAAGATATAGATTCGTTCCCACTCATCCAACATTAAAAAAGCATGTAGGGAACAGAGTACATTTGAGAACGTGACATTACTTATAGAAGACGCTTACTCTTCCGGAACACTACCCATGTACTTTTTCAGTACTTTCCGTGTAAAGCTTTCTTTTGTTAGTATTTTGCCCTAGTTTTATTAAATCTGAGTTTGGATTATAATTATGATGACATAAAGACATTTTCAGTTTGTTTCAATAACAAACTCCACAAGTGAAGTGAAAATGTCTGGACATTCAAATGACCAACCACGTTTGAACTTACAGGTCATCATGACAACTAAACCACACACAGAATAAACACGTTGTAAAGTTAATTTTATATTTCTGCTACACTTAGTTATGACATCTGAAAATAAATACCCTATAAGGCTTGTAATTTAGACACTTCTTCTATACATCAGAACGTACACAATGTGTATATGATAACTTTTTATTCAATACTTCCTGAGATAAATTGTTTTTACACACAATATTAACGTTTTTCAAAAACTTCAAATTTTGGCAACTTTAAA